GACCCCTCCTGGGGTTTCCCAGGCGTATCACTATGGAAGTAAGATTGCCCAACCTTCCTTCTGAGGAATGGCTGGTGGGTTGAACCATCAGCCTTCTGATTAGCAGTCAGATGCCTTAGGCACTATGCTACCAGAGCTCCTAAACCAAACCCACTGCCTTGGAGTAGAACACAACTCATAGCGACCCCTCCTTGGGTTTCCAAGGTGGTACCTTTCTAATGCAGAACACCAATATTTCCAAAATGTACTACTGTAATTCTGTATTGTAGCTGAATGGGGGAAGGGGAAAAGGGAGAGATAAGAGGTAAATAAGGAGTGAACCTGTTGACCAAGAGGTAAGTTTTGGGGGTTGTGGATTTGGGAGTGGGGAAAGAATGGCAGTGAGGGAGAAAGGAAGGAAAGAAAAAGGATAATACCCTTCTGGATTATATGTAGACTTTAGAATGTCATTATTTTTTATTGTCATTGAACACATATATACTGTGTTTATATGTTTTGTTCTTTGCCAAACTTCTAAGTAGTATATTTGCTAACTACTAGGAAGATTTTGTTCTTTAAAATTTCAGAGATTTTTGTTTCTTTGCTCAATAGAAACAGTTATAATAGTTTGCTGTAGAGAAATTATCCTCTGGCTTATATTCATTAATAAGATAACAGTAACTTTATAGCAGAAAAAATAAATTAAGCCAAAGGCCAGTCTGAAGGTTTTTCCATATCTATACTAAGCTATATAATCAAGTATTGCCATTAGCTTTCATTGTTGAAAGGTTTTGTCTTGTGTGTCAAACACTATTCTAAGTGTCAGGGATAAAAGAATTAATAAGACAGAGTTCTTGCCTTCCAGAGTCCTTGTTGTTGTTATTATGTGCCATTGAGTTGGACCTGACTCATAGCGACCCCTCTTTGGGTTGCCGAGACAGTATTATTACGGAAGTAGATTTCCCAGTCTTCAAGAGTCCTAAGTTAATACACTAGTTAATACACCAGGCTCCTAACCAAAATGTTAGAATTTTAAGTTTAGCCAGAGGTGCCTTAGAAGAAAGTCCTCGTGATTTATTTCTGAAAAATCACTCATTGGAAACTCTATGGAGAAGTTCTGCTTGGACACAGATGGGGTCTCCAAGAGTCAGAATCCATTCAACATTTCCACGAAACTCTCCCCCCGCATTGCCTTCAGGGAGCACACTGGCTACTAGGAAAGACAAATGATAAGGATGTATAAAATGTTTTGGCCCCATGAAGAGGGAGCTCTGTGAAAGAATGTGCCTGGAGAAGTAAAGAGGGCTTCCAGGAGTGTGACCTTGTGGCTGTATATTTATGTGGTTGATAGAATTTGCCAAAGGGCAAAGGTGGAGTAGAGAACTTCTAGGCAGAAGGCATAGAAATGTAAAAAAAAAAAAATGTGATGGGAGCATGAGATATAAGGGGTGGGAGGGAGATGGAAGTAAAGAAAGATGAAACAAATAGTAAGTTGGGGCCATGTTGTGAAAGATTCCTTATTAAGGAGTTGGATCTTATCCTACAGGAGATATCACAGAATAGTTGTATGAATATTAAGAGAAGGCAAAGAAGAAAACTCCAAAACAGCTCTGAGTACGTAGTATATTATTAAAAGTAGTAGTTCAGTTCATTGGGGAAAGGATGAATTAATTACTAGATGGTACTGTAAGTATTTTGTTTAAGAATTTGGGGAGAATAGTTAACTTACTACACCTAAGCAAAAACAATCACCCTAAACCAATCTCATTATCTAACATTTTGCATTTATAACCATAGTAAAAAAAGTCAGACTATTTTGCACATAAACAAAGTATTTTGGCAGTAATGAATGCCAAGTTAGGAAGCGAGAGTAACAGTGGTTGTGTGGTTAAGATTATGTGTCAGCTTAGCTGGGCCGTGATTCTCAGTGGTTTGATAGTTATGTAATGATGTAGTCACCTCCATTTTTGCATGGTGCTGATTTTCGCATAACAGTCTGGTCTTTGGAACCTAACCATGTTGATAAATGAGGAGTGGAAGTAGTTTGAGAAAATATTTTATGTAGTACATTAATGTTAAAATATCTGTTAGATTTTGAAACTTTTGGCTGAAACTCTGGCTTTATTTCTAAACAGAAGCCAATGTTTCAAGTTGCTGTCTTAACCTTAAACTTTTTTTGTAGCATCTGCAGAAAAAGAAGCGATCAAAGGTACATACTCCAAAGTAATGGATGCATATGGACTCTTAGGTGTTTTACGATTAAATCTTGGTAAGTTTATTATTCATTATTATCTGTCCAGTTTTGCATTTCTGTTTGTGTAGTTTTAAGAATTTGAGAGATAGTATCGATAGATCATTTTCAGACTCCATATTTGAGCAAAAAATATGGTAACAACTTTTAAACCCTAATTAAGCTAATCTTGTGATAAAATTTGTTGCCCAACAGGGCTGCATGTTCAAACAGAGACACTGTCCTGTTTGAATACTTTTTTTTTTTTTTTAAAGGATTGGTATGTTTGTCAAAAGAGAAAATCTAGGAGCTGCCCCCCCCCCCTTTTTTTCGCTTCAGTGTGTTTAGAAATAGTATTTTAGTGGCGACCACATTCATTTCTGTGCTTACAGTAGAAAAGACAACATCTATTTTGGATTCAGAAGGCTTGGCTTAAACCTATCTCTTCTACTTTGTGTCACCAAGGCTGCAAAGTAACCTTTATTTTAAGTTTGATTGTATTTAACATTGTGACTTGGAGTGTGGCCAAAGGCTTGTATCATTCTTTGTGAACTGTTATTTACTGGTCCATGATTAGATAAGGAACGAATTAACACCCATCTTCATTCATCTATAAAGTCTTACTATGAATAAAAGGCAGCTGAACTAAAGGGTGAACTAAATAATGTATTTGATTTCTATTCTGGTGTTGTTGTTGTTAAGTGCCCTCGAGTCAGACCTGACTCATAGTGACCCTTCCTTGGGTTTCTGAGGCAGTATCACTACAGAAGTAGATGCCCAACCTTCCTTCTGAGGAGTGGCTGGTAGGTTTGAACCCCCAGCCTTCTGGTTAGCAGTCAAGTGCCTTAGGCACTATGCTACCAGAGCTCCTTCTATTCTGGTATAAGTACCTTTTCTCATTAGGGAGTGAATAGTTTAGGGACCAGACTTGGAGTGGCACTGGTGTGTAAAATGGAGATTTGTTGTTTGTTATGTATCTGTCTCATGTCAAGTATTATGCCTAGTTGCTATTCTAGTATTGTCTTGGGTAATCCTCAGTTCAATGAGGTATTTAATTGTTTTTTATCTTTTTGTAAGGGAAGCTATCTCACACTGGTTGAGTTAACATCCTGGGTTGGTCCAGACATTAAGTGGTGAAGCCAATATTTAGGATCACTTCTCCCTGTACCAGTGCAGTGCTCAAAGTTCGCTCTTGCTGAATTCTAGCTGATTTCTTATTTCATAGAATTTTTGTCACAATTAGATGAAAAACTCTCTATGAAAATGTTTGTAAGCCAAATTTCTTTATAAATATTAGTTGTTACCAGAGGCTTTTTGCCTATATATCATCAGCCCACATGTGTGTTTCTCAGCTTGATTGTTTAATAATTTTCTCATTTGAACTTCCTGATAATCATAAAAGGAAGATAGAGAAGTTTCCATACCCTCAGGTTAAATAGAGGAACAATTGTATAAATGGGAGAGTAATGGTTAAATGCTTTACATACTAAATATATTTAAACAAGGATTTTTTTCAACTCTTGAAACAATCTCATGTAAATAATTTAAACTTAAAGACATCCATAGTAAGTTTAAAATAATCACAATGTCAGATTTAAAAGAAGAAGACATCAGAAGAAAGAAGAAGAAACTTTGAATAGCTTGAAAAACACTAGGGCTTTTCATTCAATTAAATCTTTGTTTTTTGCAGGTGATACTATGTTACATTATCTGGTCCTAGTCACTGGATGTATGTCTGTTGGAAAAATTCAAGAATCTGAAGTTTTCCGAGTTACTTCCACTGAGTTTATATCACTACGAGTTGATTCTTCAGATGAGGATCGCATTTCAGAAGTTCGAAAAGTTTTGAATTCAGGAAACTTTTATTTTGCATGGTCTGCATCTGGAATTAGTTTAGATCTGAGTCTTAATGCACATCGTAGCATGCAGGAACACACAACTGATAATAGATTTTTCTGGTGAGTTTGTTTTATTTTTTTCCCATTGTATTTACATGTTGTGCAGTAGCTTGGTAATTTTGAACACAACGGTTGCTATTTCTAGCAGTAGGAAGGGACAGCTGTTGCTAGTGAGCAGACTGATTCTTCCTCCTCTAGGAGCCTCAGCACAGCATGTAGGCAGCCACTGCTGGTGTTCTGGTGTTGGCATGTGAAAACCATTTGTTCTCCCTGATGTGGACCAACCTTTCATTTCGGAAGCATATTTAAAACACTTGCTTTTGATTTAGGAATGAATTTGATTGTAATAAAATTGTGGTATTCATGTTCTTAGTATCGAGATCTTGTCTCAGGCAGCATCACCATCCTAGAACCATCATTCCCATATTATTACTTTTTTAAAAATTTTAAGGCTATAGGTAAATGATACTGATTTAAGAGCAACAAACTACAAAGAAGTAGTATACTGGGACAAAGCCCAATACTGTAATAAAATAGAACTTATGTAGGTAATTGTACTATATTTCATGATGGTGCATAAATATGCTGTATTGCAAGTAGGTACAAATGGTACATAGAACACAGGTGACTATAGTTAGTACTGCTTTATTGTAGCCAGACCAGATTTCTAGTACAGTGGTTCTCTTGCCTGCAACTGTCATCAGTGTTGACTTTTTCCCATAATACCATGTGCAAATTATTTATCTTTTCATTTATTACAAGACCAAAGTCTAGTACTCTGTTTTCGAATTCCCACAGTAGCTCAGATTCAAGGTTTTCCCCCTTGTATATTTTCTCTTACACATACTTTCACTGTCTATCTGAACAGTCCTTGAGTAGCACATTCAGGTCTGACTCATTTGCCCTGGGTGTCAGAGGGCTCAATGTCAACAACTTTAGGGTAAGAAACTAACCACAGAGTTGATCAGCTAGTAGCTAACAGCCAAGTGTCTTGGTCCAGGATAGTGGCATGAGTGAGAAGAAAGGGCAGAAAACAAGGCTTTATAGCTGCTATGTCAGAGACTTGGGGCTTAGCAAAGGAGGAGGATCAAAGTGAGAGAGGGAGGGATTGACAGGGTAGATGAGTGAACATAAAGCCCTGTCTGCTTAGAAGTAATAATGAGGGGACGTGCTTTTACCTAGCATTCAGAAATAGACTTCTGAGAGTTAAAACCCTGTCAGTACTATACTTGTTCTGGTGGAAAACATTGAAATCCCTTGAAAAATCTAAAGGTGTTGCATCTGTTCTTAGGAAAGTTCCTTCCTTCCCTTTTTGTTTTCTCCTCATTTCTACCCTAAATTACTTAGCTTGAGAGAGAAAGTCTTTTCTACCATACTTAAGAGTCCGAGGAAGTGAAGGTAACTTGGCTAAAATACCGGCAATCAAGTGTATTTGCTAAGTTTAATCAGTAGGAATACATCTATTCCTCACTTATCAACTATCTTGTTATCTGACATCTTGCATTTATACAGTAAAAAGTCTGCTATATGGCTGTATTAGGTCTGGCAGTAACAAATGCCAAGGTGCTGGCTGTGATAGTTATGTTTCACCTTGGCTGGGCCATGATTCTCAGTGGTTTGGTAATTATGTAATGATGTAATTTGGTCATTGCAAAATGATGTAGTAACTCTCCATTTTGGGATCTGATGTAGTCATCCTCCATTTTCACATAATGCTGATTTTCACATAATGACTTGGTCTTTGGAACCTAACTATGTCAATAAGTTAGGAGAGTGTGTAATTCCTCTTTTCTTTGAATTAAGCTTGAGGATGGGAATAGTTTTAGATAAAAGCTTGGGGAATTTATTCAGTAGGAGACAGATTGACAAAGGGAGGCTAAAACACCAAAGGTGAATTTTGCTCATTTTGCAATTTTGCTAAGGAAAGACATGCTCCACCTTCATGTTGCATAAACAAATGGAAGCTTTATTTATCATGTATACCCTTGCAGCTTAGTATTATTTTCCAGGATATAATCAAGTAAGTTTTATTGCCTAAAAATGGTAAATACCTATCACAAAACCCAGGTAATTTTACTACATTGGTGATTCAGAGCTGCTGCCAGTTTAGAGTTACGTATGAATTTAGATAAAATTAAAATAGTGACATATTGACAACAAAGAAAAATGAAAACGGAGAACAGAGAGAAAACCACCTTTACAGAATGCCTAGGATATGACGTCTATCTAAATGAGGACAAATAAGTCTCTTATGCATACACTGTGACACACGTATTAGCAGTGGTGTCTGGACATGTTAGGTTACAATCATTTTGAGTTTTCCTTCAGTTCAGTGTAGATGGTAGTAAAATATGAAAGCTTAAGTCATTTATTAATTTTTTAAATAAACTATGTTTGTCAGATTTAATGTTATCCTAGTAGTAATCTCACTACTCATTTACATTCCAATTTGCTTTCTTAAATGGAACAAGTTAGATTGTAAATATATTGTGTAGAAAGACATAACAGAAAAACACAAAAACAAAACAGGCTTCTCTTCTATGGACCATAGATCACATATCCCAGGATCTCATATTATAACCGTATCTTCTGATTTCTAGCATAGTCATTTGTTCATTTTCAATTTAGTATAACCAATCTAATGTTCCAGAAGCACTGTTTTAAAACTTATACTTTATTATTTAGTGCTCAGTAAGCTAATGCAGTAATTTCTTTTTCTGTTAGGAATCAATCTTTGCACTTGCATCTCAAGCACTATGGTGTGAATTGTGATGACTGGTTGTTACGCCTCATGTGTGGAGGAGTAGAAATCAGAACAATTTATGCTGCTCATAAACAGGCAAAGGCTTGCCTCATTTCAAGACTAAGCTGTGAACGAGCTGGGACCAGGTTTAATGTCCGGGGAACAAACGATGATGGTCACGTCGCTAATTTTGTAGAAACAGAACAGGTATACAGTGTTTTGTATTACTTAATTTATTTATTATATGACAGGCACAGAAAATACAGTTTGCCCTTCTTATCTATGGGTTCCACATCCAGAGATTCAACCAGTCACAGATCGAAAATATTCAGAAGAAAAAAAAGCAATTAAGTGGCTAATACAATCCCTCAGAGGTTACGAGGGAGTGTAAAGTGCTATTTACATTGTGTTAGATATTTTAAGTAATCTAGAGATGATTTACGGTGTATGAAAGGATATGTGTAGATTGTATGCAAATGCTATGCCAGTTTTCATAAGGAACTTGAGCATCCACCTTTGGTATCCGCTGGGGTCCTGGAACCAATCCCTAGCAGATATAGAGGGACTACTGTAATAGAAAGACAGATTTTTATTTTTTAAGAACTCATTTTGACATCTGTAGTATTTCATTATTATTCTTGGCTACTTATTGGCCTTGAAGGTTTTCCTAGAACAAACTTATTTGGGTTTGGCTGTACAAGTAAGTAACAGGATATTCACTAATCAGCATGGCATGGTCAAGAGTTAGACAATGTAAAGAAAGTTTTTTTTTTTTTGGTGAAATTATATCAAACCTCAACAGCCAAAAATTAAAAGTTAGACACCCTATTGGGCCATAAGTCCTTCCTAGAGTCTACTCTGGATTACATCCCCTCTGTACCTGGCACCCCTGAGCAGCAACATGCAGCCACTGTGGCTCTGCTGGGTACTCTGGGCACTGCCTGCCGCTGGCTGGCCCCAAAGTGTCCCTGACCAAGCAGCAAATCCAAGGCATCCTGCTGCAACTACTGTATCTCAGCAAGGTACCTGTCCTAGACAAAGCTGACATGGAGGAGCTGGTCATTCTTGCCCATGACCATGTTATAACACAGCCACAAGGTCCTCTCCCATAGGAAGAGGTTCAGCCAGAAATTCTGAGAGGTAGCCAGTAGGCCCCTGGTGTCTAAGTCTTCCACTCACCTGCTGGTGTTTGGCATAGAGAAATGGCTGGTGCCTGACAGCAAGCTGGTGCAGGCCATGCTGTGACTCTTTCAGTAGCTGATCCCCAGGGCCACACTCCACAGGCACATGAGGCTGTTCCCACACAGCACCCAAGCCCAGATCACAGAGTTGCTGCATGTGCATGAGGTCAGTGCCAGTCACACATCCCTCATTGACTCCAGGCTATTGTCCCTCCACAAGAGTGGCTGGAAGGTCTTCAAAATGATCGAGGCAGTGAGCTTCTAGCAGCAGCTAAGCTTCCCTGGCAGCTGCTGCTACTTCAGGTATTAGTGCAGAGGGAGCACCTGCCACTGGCCTCTAGTGCCCACAACCTGGTACACTTTGCCTCTTAGGTGGCAGGGAGTGGGGGTGCAGGACTGCATGAGCCCCAGCTGAAGCTGCACACCCTGGACCTGAAGGCCTACAAAGCTTAGGGCAATTGTGACCCTGAGGCGCCAGTGACCAAGGATACCTGTTACTGTTGCCAGGAGAAGTACATCGGTCTGTAGGGGATGATGTGGGCTGAGAACCAGGCTTCCTGGCCCATAAGTATGTGGGGTCCTGCCACCAATCCCAAGAGTCCCTGACCTGCCAGCAGCCATTTCTGGGGCCACAGCAGTGCACCTCCTCAGCAATGACTTTGCTGTCATTGATCATAAGCATCAAGGAGGGAGGCAGAACTGGACCCAGATGGTGAGCCTGCCCAACATGCATGTGCAGAAGTATAGCTGTGCCTCAATGGGGCACCCTACCCAGGGAGCTGGGGCCATAGAAGCCCAATGTCACCTCTGACTGGACACTGCTCAGAGGCAGGTCTTAAAATAGGTCTGACTTACTATCCCTTGTCCCAATTCAATGTTCGTATTTTACCATTGCCCTTTTTTGTTCCATTTTCCATCATTGCTCTTGATCATCCATCCTAAGCATTTACATATGTAAATAATGCAACTCTGGATTGCTGAACTCTGGTAAGAAGTCCTGGCCAATTTATAAGAGGCTATAGCACAAGGCTGGAGGTTCAAAATCACCAGCCACTCCTCGGAAGGAAGATGGGGAAATCTAGTTCTGTAATGATACTGCCTCGGAAACCCAAGGAGGGGTCGGTATGAGTCGGTCCGACTTGATGGCACATAATAACAAATAGCTGATAATAGACAGATTGTCTGCTGGGAATTTCTGTTCTCTGGCAATTCTCAACTGAGGGTTCTGTAATGAGAACTAAGGAAATAACAGTTGATTTACCTTACATGGTGAATTAAAATGACAAAAATAATCCTTATTTCTCCATGAAAAGGAGGATGTCTAAAAATCAAACCATCCTCTAGAAAATATCCACCATTCTGTATTTTAGTAAACATACCAGGTCCTTGTTCCCCTGAGAAGGTGTTAGGAGGGAGAACAAAGGGCTCTAGGCCCGGGGCCATCAACACAGTGTGGACACCTGGTTTCTAGATCTGACAGGACTACTACCTGTGACCTCACAAACGCAGAAGCTTTGGGCCAACAAGCTATTGTGAGAAAGAGTAGTTTTACTTGAGCTCTAAGACTTCAATTACTAGCCCTGCCTGTTCCTCCTAAGACTGAATATTGCTTTTGAATATTTAGATTATTTCCCCCACTGTTTAAACAGAATTTATCACCAAAAACCACATGAGTTTACATTGTTTTATTTGGCAAAAACAACAATTATATGTGGATAATCTGCTGAAATAAAAGTAGTTTCACTCTGGGGAAAAATATTAAAAGTTATGATGAATTTTTAATAGGTTTTATTTTATAGAGCAATTTTAGGTTTATAGAAAAATTGTGTAGAAAGTACAGAGTATTCATATTCTCCATTCCCTTCTGCATACAGTTTCTTATTAACATCTTGCATTCCTATACTACATTTGTTAAAATTGATGAACTAATATCGATACATCATTATTAACTAAAGTCCATAGTTTACATTAGGACTTACTCGTGTTATACAGCCCTGTGGGTTTTGACAAATGTATAATGTCATGAGTCTACCATTGCATGACGTGTAGAATAGTTTTACTACCCTGAAAATGCCTGTACTCCACCTGTTCATCCCTCCCCTCTGTCCCTGACCCCTTGGCAACCACTGATCTTTTCACTGTCTCTAATTTTACCTTTTCCAGAGTGTCCTGGAGTTGGACTCATACATTATTGTTAGATTTTTCAGACTAGTTCTTTCACTTAGTAGTATGCATTTATCATTCCTCCATGTCTTTTCATAATTTGGTAACTCATTTCTTTTTATCACTAAATAATATTCCATTGTGTGGATATAGCACAGTTTGTTTATCTATTTACCTATTGAAGGACATTTTGATTGTTTCAAATTTTTGGCAATTATGAATAAAGCTGCTGTAAATACTCATGTGCAGATTTTTATATGGACTTAAGTTGTTATCTCATTTGAGTAAATATCTAGGAGCACAATTACTGGATCATATGGTAAGCTTCCACCACTCATCTGTCAGTTTGTCGTAACATTGATGGTTGCATATTGCTAGAGGGTATGCCACAGGTGTCTCAAATCCCAGCAGGGTCCCCCATGGTGGACAGATTTCAGCAGAGCTTCTAGACTAAGACTGGGAAGACGGAAGAGGGCATCAACTTCTTAAAGAATCGGCCAGTGAAAACCTTATAAGTAGCAGTGAAACATTGTCTGATATATTACTGGGAAATTTTATGAAAAGCTTGAAACGTTGTCTGATATAGTACCAGAAGATGAGTCTCTCAGGTCGGAAGGCACTCAAAATATGACTGGGGAAGAACTGCCTCCTCAAAGCAGAGTCCACCTTAATGATGTGATGGAGTAAAGCTTTTGAGATTTCCATTTGCTGATAGGGCACAACTCAAAATGGGAAGAAACAATTGCAAGCATCCATCATTAATTGTAACATGTTGTTGTTGTTGTTGTTATTTGCCATTGAGTCGGCCCCGACTCATAGCGACCCCTCCTTGGGTTTCCGAGGCAGTATCACTACGGAAGTAGGATTGCCCAACCTTCCTTCCTAGGAGTGGCTGGTGGGTTTGAACCGCCAGCCTTCTGGTTAGCAGTCAAGTGCCTTAGGCACTATGCTACCGGAGCTCCTTGTAACATGGAATATATGAAATAGGAATCTAGGAAAATTGGAAGTTGTCAAAAATGAAATGAAACACTTAAACATTGATATGCTAGGCATTAGTGAGCTGAAGTGGACTGGTATTGGCCATTTTGAATCAATCATATGCTCTACTATTCCAGGCATGACAAATTGAAGAGCGATAGTGTCACATTTATTATCACAAAGAATGTTTTGAGATCTGTCCTGAAGGAAAAAAAAAAAAAAAAGAAGATCTATCCTGAAGTACAGTGCAGTCACTGATAGGATAATATCCATATACCTACAAGGAAGACCAATTAATACTATTATTGTTCAAACTTGCACACCAAACCCTAAAGCCAAAGATGAAGAAATTGAAAGCTTTTCTCAACTTCTGCAGTCTGAAATTGATCGAACATGCAATCAAGATGTTTTTATGATTACTGGTCATTGGAATGTGAAAGTTGGAACAAACAATCAGAGGTAGTGGGAAAATATGGCATTGGTGATAGAAATGACACCAGAGATCTCATAATAGAATTTTGCAAGACCAACAACTTACTCATTGCAAATACCTTTTTTTCAGCAACATAAAGGGCATGTGGAACCTGCAGATGGAATACACAGGGTGCCGATTGACTACATCTGTGGAAAGAAGTGATGGAGAAGCTCAGTATCTTCAGCCAAAACAAGGCCAGGAGCTGACTGTGAAACAGACCATCAATTGCTTATATGCAAGTTCAATTTGAAGCTGAAGAAAATTCAAACAAGTCCACAAGAGCCAAAATAGGAGCTTGATTATATCTCACCTGAATTTAGAGATCATCTGAAGAACAGATTTGATGCATTGAACACCAGTGACTGAAAACCAGACGAGTTGTGGGATGACATCAAGAATGTGACACAAGAAGAAAGCAAACATATTAAAAGGACAGGAAAAAAGGAGAAGACCAAAATGGATGTCAGAAAATACTCTTACTCTTGAATGCAGAATAACCAGTAATGGAAGGAATAATGAGATAAAAGAGCTGAAAAGAAAATTTCAAAAGGCAACTTGAGAAGACAAAGTAAAGTATTATAATGAAATGTGCAAAGACCTAGAGTTAGAAAACCAAAAAGGAAGAATACATTCAGCATTTCTCAAGCTGAAAGAACTGAAGGAAGAATTCAGGGCTCAAGTTGCAATATTGAAGGATTCAGTGGGCAAAATATTGAATGATGTGGGAAGTGTCAGAAGATGGAAGGGATACACAGAATCACTGTACCAAAAAGTATTGGTCTATATTCAGCTATTTCATATGATCAAGAACCAATGGTATTTGAAAGAAGATGTCCAAGGTACACTGAAGAATTGGTGGAAAACAGGGGTGCAGGAATTGACGGAACACCCATTGAGATGTTTCAACAGCCAGAGGCAGGGCTGGCAGCGTTAACTTGCCTAGGCCAAAAATTTGAAAGAGAGCTACCTGACCAACAGACTGGAAGAGATCGGTGTTTGTGCTCATTCCAGAGAGGTGATCCATCAGAATGTGGAAATTATCTAACAGTATCATTAATACCACACTCCAGTAAAATTTTCCTAAAGATAATTCAAAAATGGTTGCAGCAGTATATTGGCAGGGAACTTCCAGAAATGCAAGCTGGATTCAGAAAAGGACATGGAATGAGGGATGTCATTGCTGATGTCAGATGGATCTTGGCTGAAAGCAAAGAATACCAGAAAGATGTTTACCTGTGTTTTATTGACTATGCAAAGGCAGTTGACTCTGTGGATCATAAGAAATGATGGATATCATTGCAAAGAATGGGAATTTGAGAACACTTAATTGTGCTCATAAGGAACATATACAGAGACAAAGAGTCTTTTGTTCGAACAGAACAATGGGATACTGCATAGTTTAAAATCAGGAAGGATGTGCACCATGGTTGTATCCTTTCACCATACTTACTCACCTGTGTGCTGAGCATATAACCTGAGAAGCTGGAGTATACGAAGAAGAACATGCCATCAGGATTGGAGGAAGACTCATTAACAGCCTGACATATGCAAATGACACAGCCTTGCTTGCTGAAAATAAAGATGACTTGAAGCACTTACTACTGGTGAAGATCAAAGACTGCAGTCTTCAGTATGGATTACAACTCAACATAAAACAAAAATCATTGTAACTGAACCAATAGGCAACATCATGATAAATGGAGAAAAGATTGAAGTTGTCAAGGATTTCCTTTTACTTGGATCCACAAGCAACACCCATCCAAGCAGCAGTCAAAATATCAGACGACGTATTTCACTGGACAAATCTGCTGCAAAAGACTTCTTTAAAGTGCTAAAGAGCAAAGATGTCTCTTTGAAGAGTAAGGTGTGCCTTACCCAAGCCAAGGTATTTTCAGTCTCCTTATATGCATGTGAAAGCTGGACTGTGAATAAGGAAGACCAAAGAAGAGTTGTTGCCTTTGAATTATGGTGTTGTCAAAGAATCCTGAAAATACCATGCACTGCCAGAAGAGCAAACAAATCTGTCCTGGAGAAACTGCAGCTGGAATTTTCCTTGGAAGTGAGAATGGCCAGACATATTCTTACCTACTTTGGTCATGTGATCAAGAGGGACCATTTCCTAGAGAAAGATATCATGCTTGGTAAAGTTGAAGGTCAGCGATAAAGGGAAAGGCCTTCAACAAGATGGATTGACACAGTGGCTACAATGATGGACTCAAGCATAGCAAAGATTTTGAGGATGGCACATGACCAGGCAGTGTTTCGTTCTGTTTTACATAGGGTCACCATGCATCAGTGTTGACTTAGCAGCACCTAACAACAACACTGTAAGCCTATGTTAGCTTTATAAGAAACTGTTAGACTGCCTTTAAAGTAGCTGCACCATTTTGAAGTTCCTCTTGTTCCACATCCTTACCAGCATTGGTGTTGTCAGTGTTTTGTATTTTAACCATTCTAATAAGTGTGAGAAACTGGACCATATGAAGAACAGGCCATTAGGATTGGAGGAATATTCATTAACAACCTGTGATATGCAGATGACACAATGTTGCTTGCTGAAAATGAAGATGACTTGAAGCACTTACTAACGAAGATTAAAGATTACAATCTGCAATATGGATTACATCTCAACATAAAGAAAACGAAAATCCTCACAACTGGACCAATAAGCAACATTATGATAAATAGAGAAAAGATTGAAGTTGTCAGAGATTTCATGTTACTTGGTTCCACAGTCAATACCCATGGAAGCAGCAGCCAGGAAATCAGAGGACTCATTGCACTGGGCAGATCTGCTGCAGAAGACCTCTGTAAAGTGCTGAAGAGCAAAGATGTCTTAAGATGCACCTAATCCAAGTCATAGTATTTTCAGTCACCTCATACGCATATGAAAGTTGGACAATGAATAAGGAAGACCAAAGAAGAGTTGATGCTTTTGAGTTGTGGTGTTGGTGGAGAATACGGAAAATGCCATGGACTGCCAGAACTAACAAATCTGTCCTGGAAGAAGTGCAGCCATAATACTTCTTGAAAGCGAGAATGGCCAGACATCATCTTACCTACTTTGGTTATATTGTCAGAAGGGCCCATTCCCTGGAAAAGGATATCATGCTTGGCAAAGTAGAGGGACAATGGAAAAGGGGAAGGCCCTCAATGAAATGGATTGACACAGTGGCTGCAACGATGGGCTCAGGTATAGCAAGGACTGTGACACTGGTGCAGTGTTTCTGTCTGTTGTACATTGGGGTACTATGAGTCAGCCAACTTGCCAGTACCTAACAACAACATAATAGGTGTGTAGTGGTCTCTCATTGTTGCAGTTTGCAGCTCCTTAAAGGCATAAGATGTTGAGTTCTTCGTATGCTTATTTGCCATATCTGTATATTTGGTGAGATTTCTATTCTGAATTTTTGCCCATTTGTAATTGAATTGTTGTGTGCTATGCTACTTTTCGCTGTAAAACTACATAATTGTAAATTCAGGCTTATACTTTTATGCTTTTTGAGAGACACCCCCCACCTCTACACTAATTCAGGTCTTCAAATTATGTTTTGAAACATATAAAAAGCTAAAGAAAAAAAATGAAATATAAATTTTTTGCCTATAAAATATTGAAGAATTCTTTATTGAAAGTTGTGATTCTCCTGCATATAGTTTTATTATTTTCTTGGTAAATATATATAAAAAAGGAACTAACAGTAACAAAAATCAACCTATTTAGTGGCCTGTTTTCAATAAGGAAATATGGTCGTGAAAATCAGCTGTGACAAGTATGTAACATGTTTTAGTAAATTAGTTTTAGTGAAGAAGTACCAGCTTGTCCTGTGGAAATATTTTATATGTTATTTTTCTCTGCAGGTTGTATACTTGGATGACTCTATTTCTTCCTTCATACAAATCCGGGGATCTGTTCCCTTGTTCTGGGAACAGCCAGGTTTGCAGGTATGTGTTTGACATTCATTTATTATTATTTTTTTTCACTTGAAAATTTTCTGTATTCTCTGAGATTTCAGGATAGGTCATTAGTTCACAGCTCTATTATTCTATCTAATCATATTAGCTAGATTTGCAACTGAGGATCTGAGTATAGAGGTCCTGGAATTTTCTTAGATGTTTTTTCCCTTAATGTTCTTTCAAAAAGCTATAGAAATTCAACCGCCATACTTAACATTACAATTCTGGTATGGTTTTATAATTAGCTGACTTTCAAAGTATGTTATAATTATCTCATTATCTTACAAAAAAATCAGTTGCCATTGAGTCAGTTCTGGCAACCCCACCTCTATCTGTCAAAGTTGAACTGTGCTCTTACAGAATTTTCAGTGGCTGACTGTTTTAGAATTTGATCACCAGGACTTTCTTGCAAGGCACCTCTGAGTGGAGCCCAGTACGTTAGCTAAGATGTTAACCAACCACCTTAACTATTTGTATCACCCAGGGACTCCATTTCATTATCTTGGTGTACAGCATTTTAGCTCCTTACGCACAGTATGTAACTAAGACTCTGGAACTAGACCAAGTACTTTGAAGCCTTGCTTTACCACTAGTAGCTATGTGATCTTGGACAACTTATTTAATTTCATCTTAGTTTCTACTTATAAAGTGGTAGTTATAATAGTAACAGTACCTTCTTTTTAGGGTTGCTATAGGATTAACTGAAAACACTTAGAATAGTGCTGGCTTTCAGACTAAGAACTATATACAAGTTAACTGTTATTCTTGTAATTAATAGTATCTCTGTTACTGAAATTTTACTTAGTAATTTGCAGTGACCTGTTCCCTAATCTTTAATGTAAGGTCATAGTATTGAATTGTTCATAAAATTATGATTTTGCATATTAGTTTTATTCAAAAATCTTTAGTCGCTAAACTATAAATATATTCATTTTAGGCTTCTAGGTATGTACAATCTCTAGTGAGTTTTGTATATCAAAATGGACAGAAAAAAATCTTTCCTCTTTTTAGTTCACAGCTGGATCTACCTTACATTCTAGAGTGAGTATTATGGAGAGAAATGGCAGACTGCTTGAGTGTTCTCAGTAATACAGTTTACTCTAGACTGGTGAAAAATTAAAAAGTACTGACACTTGTACTGCTTTGCTAAGGTTCTTGAGTTCTTGTCAAGACCATTTAACTTGTATGGGTTTTATCTTTGGCATGTAGGATAAATTAAACAGATACATCTCTCCCCAAATCTCTTTGGGGAAATAATCCCAATCCTAGCTCGTTTCTCTTAAATTTTCATGATCAAAGAACTGTGTTAGGAATATTTCCTTTAAGAACAGTTTTTAAACCCTGCTTTGATATAAAGTGAATGCCTTTGTTTTCCAGTTAAGCTTGTGTAAGAGATTTTAAAACCTATTCATGTGTTCTCTGTTATACTGATTTACATGTGATTTTATTAAGAAATTCAGAATTACCAATGTCTGATTGTCTGTTATGGTTGGATTCTGAGTATTTATTGAGGGGCCTGTTTTGGGTAGGACCTCCTTCCTGTTTGCTTCTCCTGTTGGGCTTTGGCCTGCCCACAGTTAGTCTGCTTAGGTAATGTCGTTGTTATGGACTGAAAACTATGGATTTTTAAATCATGCATTTCTTCATAGAGATAGTAACTTTTGAGACATCGAGACTGGCACTAAATTGTCACTGAACTGGACTAATTATTGTCTTGAGCTGGGGAGAGGATTGGGTCAGGGGTTTCCTCACTTACTTAGCTTAATAGTTTTTAAAGTCAACCTTTCTTTGATTAGGGATGCATTAGTTTCACAAGTATCTTACATACCAAAACATTTCCCCTATTATCCTAAAAAAGTATGTAATAAGGGAAAGTACAGGC